GTATAGACAATCTTTTCGACCAACTACAAGGAGCGAGCTACTTCTCAAAAATCGACCTAAGATCCGGTTATCACCAACTACGAGTACTGGAAGGAGACATCCCCAAAACGGCCTTCCGAACACGATATGGTCACTACGAGTTTGTAGTAATGCCCTTCGGGTTGACAAACGCTCCAGCAGTGTTCATGGATCTGATGAACCGAGTATGTCGTCCCTTCCTGGACAAATTCGTGATCGTGTTCATAGATGATATACTCATCTATTCTAGAAACCAGGAAGAACACAGCCAACATCTCCGCCAGGTTCTGGAAACATTAAGGGCAGAGAAACTTTACGCAAAATTTTCTAAGTGCGAATTTTGGATTCGAGAAGTGGATTTTCTAGGACACGTAGTAAGCAAGGAAGGAATACACGTGGATCCCTCGAAGATCAAGGCAATAGAGAATTGGACGATTCCAAGAACCCCTACAGAGATCCGACAATTTTTAGGACTCGCCGGGTATTACCGAAGGTTCATACAAAATTTTTCCAAGATTGCCAAGCCACTCACCACACTAACTCAAAAATGTGACCTTCGACTGGGGAGAAAACAAGATGCCGCATTTCAAACGCTAAAACGAGCATTATGTAGTGCGCCCATCCTAACCCTGCCAGAAGGGACGGAGGACTTCGTGGTCTATTGTGATGCATCAAACCAAGGACTCGGGTGTGTCCTGATGCAACGAGGGAAGGTCATCGCCTATGCCTCAAGACAACTAAAGACGCATGAAGTGAACTACACAACGCACGATCTTGAGCTAGGAGCAGTCGTCTTCGCTCTAAAGATATGGAGACACTACCTCTACGGCACGAAATGCACGATCTTCACTGACCATAAAAGCCTTCAACATATCCTCAACCAGAAAGAACTCAACATGAGACAAAGACGGTGGGTAGAGCTACTAAGTGATTACGAATGCGAAATTCGATATCACCCCGGAAAGGCTAATGTAGTGGCTGATGCACTCAGGCGGAAGGAATACTCAGGTCGCCGAGTGAAGTCCCTAACTATGACGATCCATTCCCACCTGTCCACGCAAATCAAGGAAGCCCAAATAGAAGCCTTGAAATCTGAAAATGTGGCAGGGAAGAAACCCTAAGGGAATGGATAAGAATCTTGAAACCAAGAACGACGGAGTTCGTTATTTCATGGATCGAATATGGACACCAAAGTTTGGTGGATTCAGAGAAATCGTCATGGACGAAGCCCATAAAACACGATACTCCATACATCCCGGCTCCGACAAGATGTATCTCGACCTCAAGAAGTTGTACTGGTGGCCGAACATGAAAGCCGAAATTGCTACCTACGTGAGTAAATGTCTGACGTGCGCTAAGGTCAAAATAGAATACCAAAAGCCTTCAGGCTTATTACAACAACCAGAAATACCCGAATGGAAGTGGGAGCGGATAACTATGGATTTCATAACCAAGTTACCCAAAACGACAAACGGACTCGACACCATTTGGGTAATTGTCGACAGGTTAACTAAATCACGCATTTCCTACCGATCAAAGAGACGGATAAATTGGAGAAGTTAACAAGGACATACCTCAGGGAAATTGTACGACTGCACGGTGTGCCCGTATCCATTATCTCGGACCGAGATAGTAGATTCACCTCAAGATTCTGGCAGTCGCTACAAAAAGCTTTGGGGACAAGACTAGACATGAGTACCGCTATCACCCTCAAACCGACGGCCAGAGCGAGAGAACCATACAAACCCTAGAAGACATGCTGAGAGCCTGCGTAATCGATTTTGGCAAAGCATGGGACACACATCTACCCTTGGTCGAGTTCTCGTACAACAATAGCTACCACACCAGTATCAAAGCTGCCCCGTTCGAAGCCCTCTATGGCCGCAAGTGCAGGTCACCTTTATGCTGGGCCGAAGTGGGAGACCCAACTAGCAAAAGGACAAGCAACTGACAACACACTTACTGGGCCAGAAATCATACGGGAAACTACGGAGAAGATTGTTCAAATCCGAGAACGTCTAAAGGCATCAAGGGATAGACAAAAGAGTTATGCAGATAAGAGACGAAAACCCTTGGAATTCCAAGTTGGAGACCGTGTCCTACTAAAAGTCTCGCCTTGGAAAGGATTGATACGCTTCGGAAAACGTGGGAAACTGAACCCCAGATACATCGGACCATTCGAGATCCTTGCCAGGATCGGTCCAGTGGCTTACAAACTTAGACTACCTCAGGAACTCCACAACGTACACCCTACCTTTCACGTATCAAACCTAAAGAAATGCTTATCCGACGAGACCCTTGTCGTCCCTCTAGACGAAATTGCAATAAATGAAAACCTTCAATTTGTAGAGGAACCAGTAGAGATCATGGATCGGGAAGTCAAAAGGACTAAACAAAGCCGCATACCTATCGTAAAGGTCCGCTGGAACGCCAAGCGAGGACCTGAATACACCTGGGAACGAGAGGATCAAATGAAACAAAAGTACCCGCATCTTTTTCCTAATTTGTAATATCTATCTTAGATTAAATTTCGGGACGAAATTCCCTTAACAGGGGGATGATGTGACAACCCTATTTTTCCCAAAAGCATTGTAAACACTCGAAAGCTAAAAACAATGAAATTAACCTCGAAAATAAAGTGTTCAGGTATCTAAGTTGGGATGCATCGAATATTAGATATCATGCCCAGGTTTCCAAAAACATAAAGAACACTCAAAACCGAGTTATATTGAAGAAATTATAACCACTCGTATAATTACGACACGACGTTAAAACATAATTTGACGTAAAAAGTGGAATCTCAATAAAATACATTTTAGCCTTAAAGTATCTAAACAAAAGTCGTAGATCTCGTTGAAAGATGAGCATGCATAAAAAGATCGCCCAAATTGGACCTCGTATGAAGAAGTTACGAATTTTCAAAGTTTCGTAACAGTAGTAGAGGGCTAAAAACTCGGATTAAAGATCGAGTGTTATTTAGCTATCGCCACCTAAACGGAAGTTGAAGATCTCCTCGGTGGTAATAAAACAATCAAAAGACAAACGAAAACCGACGTCGAATAAAGAACCTATGAAATTTTAACGAACTTTAGGAGGCCCGGCCTATTAAAATTATATCATTAAAAATAAAGTCAAAACTAGCGACGGAGTCTAAATGAAAGTTGTAGAGCATAATCTCACCTACGCGTGGATATAAAGAACGCGAAAAACAGAGCTCGTACGCGAAAGTTACGGAATTTAGAAGTTGGAAGCAGGGATTACGCCCCGCGTCCTAGACCCAGAGTCGAGTCCCATCGGCCCGCCCAAGCTACGCCTAGTTAGCCAGGAGTCGTAAGCCATGACGCATTATTACACCCCGCGTAACCGAAGTACGCCCCGCGTACTCCGGAAGTACGCGCCGCGTACGAGGATCTTCAGCCCTATAAATAGAGGGCATAAAACTCGATTTTTGGCACACCTTCATAATTTCTCAGCATTTCTCCCTGTTCCAGAGACCATTTCATTGCCTTGGTTTCCGCACTCGAGCCCCCGACGAAAGATTTACGTTGCAGAGATCCCCGAAGAGCCCGACGACGCAACTATCCGCGATCGAAACTCTGCTCAACTCTAGTCCCTCTCTTCAAACTTAACGAGTGAGTTCATACCCCTACTTTTCAATTCTTTTTCATGTTTTAGGGGGGAAATACAAGTACATTACACGTTAAAAGTATCGTTTTATAAACATAAATGCAATTTCTAACTTCGAATATCGATACAAACATCTTATGTATACAAGGGCGATTATATCACTAAGTTATTTCTACGAAATGGAACATACTATCTGAAAAACTATAATGGGTATAGTTAGCAAAGTCAATCCTACATTTTATACAATTTGAAAAACGAAACACTTTCAAAAGAAGTAAGGTATTTCATTGTAAATCTATTTATACTAGTCAATGTGAGATATTTAACTTCAACGTACATTTTTGTATGCATTTCAAGTCCTGTATTATATACCATAATCTCTTGGGGGAGAGCGTGATACTTGTGTATAGATCTATACGGGATTGACAATCCCACCTAAACTACTAGCTATAGTTAGACCGGCAGGTCTGGGGTGACAAATGTCATAACACTGCAACACTTGAAGAATGTTGTTACAGGCCGTCAGTGTCATTAGTATGGTTATAAAACTCACATAAAAAGTATAAAACAAGATTGATTTACGAGATTCATATGTGCATCGCAGTTTTCCTACATTATATTTTCATACAAAATTTTTGTTATCATTTGTTTATAAAAGTTACTAACACATTCCAACTTTGGAAACTCTTTCATTTTACAAGAAAATATTGGATTTTCTAAAAACCTCGTTTACCAATTTACTACCAAAAAGGGACATACTTTTCAACTCGAAACACTCATGAACTCACCAACTTAATTGTTGACACTTTTCAAAAACCACTTGTATTTCTCAGGGAATCAGTGATACAGGTAAACTACCAGCTTTTAGGAGAAGGAACACAAAGGATGTTTTTTTTCATTAAACATTTATCATCATATTGTAATATTCTTTTGTTAACATGTATAACGCAACAATATACGTTTTCATTTTATATATATGATGGTTGTGTTACTTTCTTTACAATATTCAATCGTTGTGATACTACGTGAAGTCATCCACCCCCGAATGTTTCGGCCATTCTGGTTTGGGGGTGTGACAGTATGATTCAAAATTGAATCAAGCTTCTGATTGAACTTTCTAAATTGAGCCTTCATCATCGGAGCATCATCATAATCACTATCAACTCTCACAGTAAAAGATGGAAAAACAAAATCATCAATGGGTTCTAGATCATCCACAACATGACATCTTCATCAGCGTTAGAATTAGGAACTGAAGAAGAAATGTTACCGGTAGTTACACCAATATTATCATTTGATTCCATATCATATGTGTTACCAGTGATGTTTGAAGACCTATTCTCCTCCTTATAGGATTTAAAAGTACGACCTTCTGGTGGAGTTGTAGTTGAGGTTGTCATAGGATTCATAATGGATTTAATAAAGATTGGAGTTAACAATGGTATAGAAATATGAGGTTGAGATGTATTTACTAAACTGATTTTTGGTAAAGGTGGAATGCATGAAATCAGAATTGATGTTGTCATTAGAGAAGTGGATGTAGGAAAAATAGGTGGTGGTGGAGTTTGAGATATGTTCAGAAATGGCTCATTGATAATATTCTTAAATATATCTAATTCAAGTGGAATAGATAAAGATTGAGGAGTAGAAACTTTTGAAGATGTCTCTACTGTAGAAGGTTCTGAAACAATTGGAACTACAGTATTAGTAGATATATCATCTTCATCGTTTCGGATAATGTCTTCTCCTTGAACGTCACTATATGTTGGCTCTTCAGAATCATCCTCAAACACAGGTGGTGGTGACTTTGGCTTTTTCACCAGCTTTTAATTTTCTTAGAGACAGTCGTAGCAACAATTGAAACTAATTTGGCTTTCCTTTTTCCATCCTCGCTTTGGTAGATCACAAACTTCAATAATTTTCTTCAAATCAAAAGGAATTTCATGAAAACCAGACATAGGTAAGTTCTGATAAGCCCTAATTATTGCATTGTTCAAAGGGACTTTCTCCATCATCACTTTGGGAATCAATCCAACAAAGTCAAAATTTCTCAGATCTGTAGTGACAAAAGTTGTTGTCTACATCATCGGAATCTCTGCCATCAATGGATCTTTCATCTCTCAAACTTTGTAGTGAAGAAGAGTTCTCTTTAATAGAATAGACCAAAATCTAGCACAAGAATTTCCATGTTTTGAGTACTCGAATTAACACTTTGTGCAAACTGATTCCGTATTATTGAACGAAAATCAACTTTTGTTCTAGTATAAAGCCCATAAATCAGCATGTAAAAGATTTTACTTTCACTATCAGATCCTAAAATCCTCACCTATAAAATTTTGAATAAAATGGTGAACAAACCACTCCAAACTGGTGGCAAAAATGATTTTCTGAATTTAGAAAGCAACAAAATATCAGAAGTATACCCCATCTAGAAGAACATCGTGATCATACTTGTTGCTTGAATCGATTTTGGATCAATATAACCAATATAGAATTAGATCCCTAGTAGTTGACAAAAATGTGTTTTCGAGATTAAAGTTTTGTGCCCAGAACTTCAAAACTGATAATCTCGAATGGTTTGTTGTAACTTGGAGTAGAATACGCCTATGAGAGATGAACAAGAGGAACTATTTCATGCATCATTGTAACCTTCATCAATGGTGATAAATGTAAACATTCGATTAAGGGCTTGATGAGTGTGATGTATTTTGAAGCATTGAGATCAACAATACGGTTTTGATTTACTTTAATGTTTAACATAATTGTTGAAGCAGACTGATCAACAAAAGAAATACGCTCAGATGAAGTCATGATTATTGATGAAGATGATGAACAGTAGAGAGAATTTTTCTACAATCGTCTAAGCTTTTAGTTGTAATGATAGAAAATGAAACTGTTTGGTTTCAATTTAAATCAAAGTTGATGAGTGAAGATAGAAAGCCATGGCTTCCCATGCTCATAACGTCAAAAATATAACCAATAATGGAATGCCAACTCATCATATTCCTGTAACAGTCAAGCATCGTTTGAATTCTTAGTGCATACGTTAGAGAATACAAAAAGACGCGCCATTATTTGAATTATCTTTAATTGAGCCTACATGCTTTGATTTGCAGCAGTTTAGAATCATTGACCAACCCTTCAGATTTGCAAAAGCCAAAATAGTTTCCATTGGAATTATAATCAAGATTCACCTTCAGAATTGTAATAACCATTCGGAACATAAACCAGAGTTTATAAAATCACTATGAATTTAGTGAAAGAGTGTGCCAAAGAAAAAGAATTAAGCAAATTTAAATAATTGTGGGATTTGTGATATCAAAATTATTTGATATGAAAAATAGTATGATCCCGTGCAACGATCTCTTCCTTCTTAGTCAAGAGAGACTCAAAAGTGCTTATATGGTTTTCCGTTTAATTACGATCGCCTATTTTGTTAACAAAATGTGAAAGGCTTCTTTTGTTAAGTCTTTTGGATAGGCTCGTTTTCATTTGTAGATGCATCTTAAAATAAGAGCAGAGATGCAATTGCGAAACCTTAATTGATCAATGTGATCCGAATCAAAAGAAATATAACATAGATCATGGATCATAACATCGAGGTTCACACAAAAGATTATTTGAGATACCAAACATTTGGTACACCGTCAATTCATTTTGTAAAAATTTAGAACAATAAATTGTTCACTGTAAATTCATTAATGAATTGTTTGTTGGGTTTCACTAAAGTCATGGTAATAACAACTTCGTATCATAAACACATATTTTTTTTTGTAATCTCAACCCCATTTGTTTTTACCAAGAATATTTAGATTACAATTCATGAACTAGAATTAATGGAGCATAAAAGAATGGAAAGATGGTTGGTGGGTCTCACGCAAATCATGGTAACAATGACTTATGAACATAATCGCAAAATGTTTGTAGCCTTATACCGAAGTAGTGATTACTTCAATAATCAAGAGACTAAGTGTAAGTCGTAAAACTGACACATCTAAATATATTCTTTAATGCCATCATGTGTGGTTTTCATGGATTTGTTTGAAACCTGGCACAATAAAGAACCTATCATTTGACAATATAAAGTAAATATCAACTAGTGGTTTGTCAAGTGAAGGAGTTGCTTGGTTATAAACGTCATAGGAACTTTGATTTTTGAATCACCATTCATATCGAATTTGGCTAGCAAAGTCTTTGTAAAAGCTTCTTGGTTGATTAATATTCCCTCCTTACTCTGTATTATATTCAATCCATGGAAAATTTAATTGGACCTATAGAACTAATTTCGAATTTAGTATCCATTAAATTTTGGAATTCAGCAGTTAAGTTGGGATTTCTTGATCAAAAAATAATATCATCAACATAAATTTAGAAACTCATTAAATGGTCACCATCTTTCTTATGAAATAATGTAGGATCAACAAGAACTTGTTGAAACTTAAATTGTTTCAAGAAACGGGTTATAATTTCATACCATGCCCTCTGAGCTAGTTTAAGACCATATACAACTTTATCCAATACATAACAATGATTTGGAAATTTTTCATTCATGAAAACTGGTGGTTGTTCAACATAGACTTTTTCTTTAAGTTCATCATTCAAAAATACACACTTCAAATCCAGTTGAAATACCTCAAAAACTTTGTGAGCAGTATATGCTAAAAATATATGAACTGATTTAAGTTGTGCAACTAGAACAAACGTATTTTCGTAATCAATGCCTTATTCTTAACAATATCCTTAAACCATAAGACGTGCCTTGTTGAGAACAACATTTCCTTCTTTATCCATTTTATTTCAAAAATCCGCTTTTAAACCAACAACATAAGCATTTTATATTAGTCTCTAAACATTATTTCTCTCAAATTCATTAAGTTCATATTGCATTGCTTTCACCCAATCTGCATGATCAAAAGTAATATTAACATTTTTAGGTTCAATTTTTGAAATAAAAGAATTAAAGATGCAATATTCCATTTTAGAAAGTAATGTATTTTGTTTCTCTTTCTGTTGAGCACAAGTCAAATCTCCAGAATAAGTATCACCAATCACTTGAGATTTTGGATGATTCTTAGTGCATTTTATCAATACTAGATAATTTTGATCATAAACTAGATCTAATTTAGCTACAATCTCTTCAAACTTCGATTGCACTTCAGATTCATCATGTTCAATATTCTCCCCTGGATATTTGCATCAAAGTTGGAATTTTGATTTAAACTCTCCCCCTTGAATTGAACATGGTGATTTGAATGAATATCTTGCTTAGACTTAGAAAAGTTTGGATCAAAATTCAGAATTGAATTTAAATATTGAGAATTATTTTCACTCTCCCCCCCCCCCCCCCAATAATTTGAGATGGTAATCCAGTTGTGTTCAGAATAGCTTCATCTTCTTGAATTTCAATATTTCCACAGCCTGATCAACTAGCTTCAACAATTCATCATCATTATCATCAGTTGCCTTTGATTTTGAAGAAATAGTCATCTCAGATTCATCAAACAAATTCAGAAAATCCTCACATAAAGACATAATCGAAATTGTTTTTGAAATTGATGACGGAAAATTTTCTTTAACTTGATATAATTTGATATGTTTGTCGTCAAAAGTAACATAATAGCTTTCTTCAATCTTCTTTGTCTTTTTATTAAGAACTTGATAAGCATTTGAATTCAATGAATAAGCCAAAAAGATTGTTTCATCTTCTTTAGTGTTGAACTTGTTGCGATATTCTTTTGAATTACACAAGAAACACCTGGAGCCAAAAACATGGCAAATTATCATATTAGGTTTCCAATTATTGAAAATTTCATAAAGATTAATTAGAAAAATCTTGTTAGTGTATGGACGATTTTGAGTGAAACAAACAGCAGAAATAACATCTGCCCAAAAATACAATGGCAAGTTCGCAAATGATAACATCATTCTCGCAGCTTCGCACAAATATAAGTTTCTTCTTTCTACAACTCCATTCAGTTGAGTCATGTATGGTGAGGAAAAATTATGAAAAATGCCTTTGTTTGTTAAAAAATCTTCAAAAATTTGATTCTTGAATTTCGAACCATCATCACTTCTTATTATCCGAATAGGTGTTCGTAATTGAAGTTCAAACTGCTTGATTAAATCAATTAGTTTTCAAGTTGCTTTAGATTTGTGTTTAAGAAAAATACCCATGTAAATCGAGAAAAATCATCAACAATAACCAAAATGTACTTGTTACCTTTAATTTTTTCAATTAAAGATGGGCCACAAAGATCAATATGCATTAATTCCAGTGGTTTAATTATTTTGGTATTCATTATTGAAGAATGACTCTTTCGACTTTGTTTACCCAACTCACAAGCAGCACATAAATGATCTTTTCCATACTCCAGAAGTGGAAGACCTCGAACAAGATCACCAATAACAAGCTTGTTGATGTCTTCGAAGTTATGATGGGAAAGCATTTTATGCCACAACCAACTATCATCTGAAGAAGCTTTTGCAAGCAGACAAATAGATGGTTTGCCTTGAATCGAATTTAAATTGAGCAGATACAATTCTTATTTTCCCTTTGATTTCAAAAGAACACTATTAGTTTCTTTTTGAATAATTTACGAACCTTCCTCATCAAAAGATACTTTGATATGTGTACCTACAACTAGTTGAGAAATTAAATTGTGTTGCAAGCCTTCAACAGAAGCTACCTTCCGAATTGTGAATTCTCCATTTGAAATCATGTGATATCCTTTAATTTCACTCGTTGCATTGCTTTCATATTTTACTTTTCCTCCTTCTCTTAAAGTCCAATACTCTCTTAATTTTGACTTCCTTCCAGTCATGTGACAAGAACAATAACTATCGATTTATCATTCTGAATCAAACTACTTGTCACACATAACCTTTAAAAGTTAAGAAGATTTAGGAACCCAAACCATTTTGGGCCCACGTGAGATTCGATTTCGAAAAGTAAATAGGAAAAACCTTTGTTTTGTCAATCCAAAATGATTTCTTAATCAAAGAATTATTCATCCCT